AAATTCTCTTCTACCCTTCCATATTTCAGGCTATGGTGCATCAATGTTACTTTATTGAGGAGGGATAGAATCTTGAGAATAAAAGCTGAATTCAGTAAAATAGTTAATAGATGCATGATTGTTCATTAAATTCAGTGGAATATATAGACTTACTACATAGACTATTTTATCTCTAGTTCAACTAATTATTTACCTTTGGAGTATTTTGCCCTTCTTTATAGGGTTCAAGGTACAACCCTCATTGTAGGTCCAGATTTCATGTTACATAGCAATTTGGTAGGATTATTTCTTTCTCCAGAATTCACCTACTGTCTCTGTTTTGGTCCTCTAGTGCTGCTCTAGCAGAAAATACCACAAATGGGTGGCTTTAACAAACAGGAATTTATTTATTTAATTTTTTTACAGCTTAGGAGGCTAGAAGTGTGAGTTCAAAATGCCATCTCTAGGGGCTGGGTGAAAGTCCCTCAATCTTGGGCTTTACCTCTGCCTCTTGCTCCTGGCCCACTGAAGCTGGAGGTGTCTCTTAACTAACACAGCTGCTGGATGCTAACAAACCCAAGGTCAACAAGTAAAATGGCACAGTCTTAAGAATGTCAAACAACATGGTAGGCCACTAGTTCAAGTCTATTAACAGTCCCAAGATTGATAGATGACATGGCAGGCCGTTGAGATAGAGGCTGAGCTACACGAAGAGTCCAAGCCTGTCAAAATGCTCAGAGACTTTCTCAGAGCTGTCTTCTTATATACTGGAAGCAGACCACATCCCTAAGGAAGCTAGTCAGCTGCTCCATAGAGTCCACCATGGAGTTGATTACCAATCTCATCATGAGGAATAACTACATCCAGCTGCCCAGCCAGTCAAAATCAGGCCCAGCCAAATTGAACCACAACCTTAACTACCACAGTCTCTTTTCATAAATCTTTGAGATGAAAGCCATAAGACTTATAAATTAAAATGCTCAGTAAATAGATTTTTTCCTTGGTCCCTTTTCCCTTATACCTCCCCATATGTAGTCCTTTCCTCAATCCTAAACCTTTTATGCTGTTTTCTGGTGGCAAAACCCATTTCTTGCTGGAAAGCTGATGTCATCATTGTACTTGTCTTCATTTAAATTGAAGCAAGCTTTCTCAATAATCACAGGGGTGTTTTCTCCTTTCCACCCCATGCAAATACATTTTTTTTTTTTCATGTATTTCCATTTACTTGAATTCCTCAATTTTAAACAGAATTTTGCCCTTTTCTCCTTCCTTTTCAGTCATACTATGTCTCTTGACCTTACCAAATTCTGTTTTTATCAGCTTTAGGAACTTTCACATCTTATGTCAGCCTTGATCATAAGTTGATACTTGGGCTTGTCACTATAATTTTAGTATGTCTATAAATACTGGTTAGATTTGTTTTTCTAACTAACATCAAAAGGCATTAAAAATCAAAGCAGTTAGAACAGGTAGAGAAAAGACTGGAAGTAGATCTGTAGCCTGAGAGAAGGAAGCATAGCATTTTAGGAAAAAAGCTTTTATGAATACTAAGTACCAGTATATACACACGCACACACATGCATGTGCATGCACACCCACACACACAACTCTAGTGATGATTTTTCTAAGAAAACTGGTATTTCTTTATCTTCAAATCAGTTCTTAACATATTTATTGAATGTTTATTCTGAACAATGTCTCATCATCAATAAAAAAGAAAATAAATGAACAGATCTTGTCCTTTTTCTTGTTAGAGGAAATGACATATATAGATGATATTATAAAACAAAGTATAATGTGTTTCAAGACCTGTAAGAAAATTACTTAGTACAGAAGAAATCTCAGAAGTAGAGATTAATCCTAGTTGAGTCCATTGGAGAGAACTTAATGAAATGAACACGTTTGTGTGGACTTTGAAGGATTTGTGTGCCTTTGTTTATAGAAGCCAAGAGAATTATTTTTATTTATTTACTTATTTTTTTCAGCTAACAGAGACCCTGTAGTAAAAATTTTGGGCTCCGATTATAGTAGAACAAAAGGAAAAGACTCATCTGCATTAAGTATGCTTGATAAAATTGCCAAAGATGATGATCCTGAATATGAGATTAAGACGAACATTGCCATGCTGATCGAGCAACTGGATAGGCACCTACTCAGTTATTCACTAAGACATATTTCATCGTGAGTCTTTTTAAAGAGAAACTTCTTAAAGTTAGCTATGAAAATTGCTTTCAGCATTTTAGAGAAAACATTTGAAAAATAAAATATGGAAGCTATTGCTATTGATTTAACGTTAAGTTTTACTGGAACAAAAGTTTAGTTTTATTGGGTGGTTATGGTTTTAAAAATTAAAATTCACAGTTAACATTGCCAAAATATTCTAGTGGAATTTCATCTAATTCTGAGGACATTAAGTAGCCTTGTTATTTTCAAAGACTCTTAAGAATGTTACATAAATTACTAAATTATTATGCAAATAAAGAGTTTGTATACTCCAAGATTGTTTTTCTTGGAGGATTAAAATACTGATATTAAGCAATTAAATGAGTATTTAAATGAATATGATACATTAAATGCAAATCTTGAATTCCTCAAAGTTTTAACAGTCCTGTTACAAAATTATAGCATAATAATTATAAAATAAACTGCAATTTTAATTACACAAAAGATATTTCCCAATGTAATGTGATAGTTTCCATTTGATTCTGTTTTAAAGTATTTAAACTTAATTTTTTAAACATTTATTTCAGAGAACTACGTTTAAATCCATCAGCCATTAAGAATGATATAGAGCTGCTCAAACGTTACTCAGGAAATGGAGAACAAACAGTCTTGGAATCTATTGACTATACCTCAGGTTTACATCTTTTCACATTCATTTTGTATTATATATTATTTGTTATTAATTGCTGTCAAGTCAATTTTGTCTTGTAGTGACCCTATGTGTGCAGAGTCAAACTGCTTCAAAGGATTTTCAAGGGTGTGACTTTCCAGAAGCAAATAGCTAGACCTGTTTTCTGAGGTGCCTGTGGGTGGGTTTGGATCCCCAAACTTTCAGTTTGTAGTTGAGTGCGTAACCATTTAAGCCACCCAGAGACTCCTATGTTAAAGACATTTTCATAATTATATTTTCAGAATGCTTCAAATGGCTATGTTAGAATTGAGTATTTAAGAAAATGAAAACTTAAGATTTCAATAATATCTGTTTTTTCAAGGGAACACATTGTACAAAATTCTAGATTAAGGAACACCTACTAATTGACTGATAATTGGTTTCAGAATATGAATTTTCAAATGGATGTCGAGCCCCGCCTTGGAGACAGATTTATGGGGAGATTTGCTATGTACTGGTGAAACCACATGATGCTGAGACTTTGTGCATCACTTGTAGTGCAGAAGGAGTATTTTTAAATGGTGTAAGTAATTTTTTTTACAACTAAAACCAGTTAAATTTGGACCTTACACCTTAGCTAAACCAAAAAACCCCAAACCTCTTGCTGTTGAGTCATTCCAACTCATAATGACCCTATAGGGAGGGTAGAGTTGCTCCATAGAGGTTCCAAGGCTGATTACAGAAACTGACTGCCACATCCTTGTTCTGTGGAGTAGCCCAGGCTGGTTCTAATTGCTGACCTTTTGATTAGCAGCCACATGGCACCAGGGCTCCTTTCAGACCTTAGGTAGGTGTCTGCAGTCAATGCTGGCATATCTCAAGGATTATATTCATATGACAACAGAGTATGAAACACTATTCAGTGAGACTGGAGGAGATTCCTTTGCTTTTTCTGGAAAAATCTAAAATGATCTCAGAATTAGCCCTTTTGTTCACCATTGCCAGGTCATTAAATTAGTCTTTTAAGAAACGGCTTCAAAGTGACTCATTCTATTTTATAAAAGTAAAATTTCTTTAACATGGTCATTTCACTGATTAGTTACTCATTTATTGAAGCAGTTAAAAAGCAAGAAGAGAGTTGAGGTAACACAGAATTGTGAATTCCATCCTAAGGGTTGGGAATACCAACGGAAGAAGAGGGGGTTATTAGAAGCTTAGAGGAAGGGCTCCACAAAACTGGGACTCATGCCTCCAGGAAGGGGCCACTTCTAGGCTGTGCCAGTCCCCTAGGAGCTCAGAGGAAGGGCCTATAGTGCTGGCCCCACAATTGTGCTGATACTTCAGGAGTTCAGGGGAGAATCCTTACAGAGCTCATAGAGCTGGATCCAAACCTTTGAGGATGGAGCACTCTTCAGCTATTAGTGGTATTTCTGAAGGGCCATGATGAGTCTAGTTTAGGACCCCAGGACTGTGGGGGGAAAAAAAAAATTAGAATCAACTGTTGCTACTGGAAGTAACTGTCACTGCCAGGGGTGAAGGGCTGTTGCTGGAGTGACTCTAAGAGGGATAGTAGGTAAACTGGAAGGAGCATATCTTTTCTTCTTTCTTCAACTTTCAGTCTTCTTTTACCTTACTATTAACTGAACCTAACCTAACCTGGCAAAGGAGAAATACAGAGAAACAATCTCAGCCCAAATTATCATGCAACAGAGTATGATGGATGAGTTTTGAGCACATAGCTTTCTGAATTCTCTGGATTAAGAAACTTGCTTTTCATCTCAAACCTATTCATTGAACCTTGTTAGAAGGAACCATCCTCAGCTTTCTCTTCTGCAACATCCTGCCCTCAATCTCTTCAACATAAATTTAGGATTCCCAAGCATATTTTACAGGGAGGACTCAAATCGTTAATGGGACTCAGCTATCTCTGGGTATCTAAATGCTGCTGCCACTTTCCTGATTCCTCATAGGTATCTCTTCTCTCTAACATGCCTTTTAGGTGCTTTTCTTATTAGCATCACACTTAACTCATTTCTTCATGGCTAAAGGTAAATGACCTAAATGTGATTTGTTTGTTTGTTTTTTTCAATGTTTCAGAAAAGTGAGCTCTTTAATTAGGAAATAGGAAGATACAAGAAGGAATGATTTTCTTTGGTCTTGTAGAGAAACAATGATTTTGTTTTGTCTATCAAACAAATTGTGTATGTGTGTGCATGTGGTGTGTATATATATGCATGTATATGTATACCACAGTTTTATTTGATACAAAATATCTAAGTATTGTATTCAGTTTTAAAAATGAAAGACAACATAAAACTAATAATTACAACAAAATTTACAACACAGTACCTAATATATACATAAAATCTGTTAAAGGAGAATAATAGGGATAGGAAGAGAAGGGGCAATGAAGACAGAACAGAGATAGGGAAGAAGAGGGGCAGAGGCAAAGGGGGGGGGTGCAGAGGCAAAGGGTTACTAGCGATCGTAACCATATTGCAGCCGTGCTGTGTGCACAACAATAACAGACCATGACAAACAGAAACATAGGCTTTTCCTGGGTGACAATGTAACCTTGAGGTCATTTGTAGTCTTGTCATTAAGGCTCTTGATGTCATAATGCGTTTGCACAGTCGAGGAGTACAGAGGAAAGGAAGCTCTTACTCCTCTGCTGGATAGCTGAATGCCCACCATGCACACAGCAGGTACTCAGTAAAGGCTGAGTGAATGAATGAATGAGTGAGAGAGAACAATGCATGCTTTTCCCTTATCTTTCAGGTACATAGACCACCAACTGTACCCATTAAAAAATAATATGTGTGCTTAGGTTGTGATATATTGATCAAGTTCTTACACTGCTATTACATTAATAACAATACCAAATATTTCCCCCCACAAAGGGCAAAATAGATGCTGAGAGAGAAATTAATTATGAGAGAAAAGGTAAAATTTATAAAGACCTCATCACACTTTTAAGTGAAAAATCAGCAACATTTTTAGAAAATATGGCTAAACAGGTAAGTTTTATACTTTCTCTGGAACTTTCATAAAATCGTATTATTTTACTATATCTTTCTAAAATATAAAAAAGTTGGAGAGTAATTTTGTGCACTGCTTTTAAATATTAGAGTGTTTTCCACAATATAATATAAATACTGTAAACAGAGTACTTAAATGACTTTTTCTGATTTTCTTTAGGTGATAGGTATAATATTTTCAAATTGTTTTCTTATCTTTCCTTTTGAGTTAATAACACTGAGAACAAAGGGCTCAGCCTGCTAATGTAGCTTAGATATTTTGATTTTTTTCCCTCTGGGGGGAAAAAAAAAAAAAGACTAGTTCATTGGATTGTCACTAGTAAGTATATTATCTATATGTGGACAAGAACTGTACTCCTTTTGTATTGTCTATGGTTTTTGAAATAGTGCTGGATATAGAAATCAGTCAAAATATTTTGTGAAATAAAATTTTGGTTAAAGCTGATGATGTAGAAAAAGGAGAGGCAAGCAATACTAAAGTGAAACACTCAAATTTAAATTACTTCTAGGCAGATTCCCAAGAATATGGATTTTCCATAAGGTCCCACATCAGATAAGTTATCAGGGCCATTTCTTTCTGGCCCTGCCCCTGGAGAGTCCTCCATTTTCTTGCTGGATGCTGCTGTTCTTGTCCTGGCAGTTCATTTTGTCATCATCTTGTCATTCTTTTTTGCTTCCTGGTTCCCGGTCCCCACCCCCCTATTTTTTGGTGTACTCTGTCATTTTGGTGGAGTTTCTTGAGTTAAAGATGCGTACATGGGAGGGAAAAATGGAGAGTTAGCAAATTTGAAAATATCTTAATATTTCTTTTTTAGTGGTTGTTTCTAGAATGGTAGTTCAAAAATCTAGAATTTTAAAGGTACTTTTTTCTTTCTTGTTTTTTAAATTTTATTTATTTTTCTTTTAATAATTGAATGTGTTTGTGCATGAGGAAATGGAGGATCTAAGAGGGAGACTAGTCATCACTTTAACCTATATCTGCTCATTTCAAAAGCCTGAATTCTCCATAAGCTGTAAAGCTGAACCTATTACATGTTTTTCTGTATATATATTTTTTTCCTATGTGACATGTTTTGGATTTTCCTGTCTTTCAGAAGCTTTCAGGATCTCCTCTTATCCCTAGTGTTTTCATGATTATATAGGTTTGTGAAAAGAGCCCTTTGGGCACAGTGGTTAAATCACTTAACTGTTAACTGAAAGGTTGGCAATTCAACTCAGAAGCTGCTCCATGAGAGAAAGATGTGACAGTCTGCTTTTGTAAAGATTTTATAACCTTGGAAGCCTTATGGAGCAGTTCTGTTCTATCCTATAAGGTCACTATGAGTAGGAATCGACTTGGCAGTAATGTATAATGGATTTTAAGGTTTTATGAAGGCTTTTGTTGGTTTGTTTCTCATTAACGATGACATATGTTCTTCAGAACTAGAAAATAAGTTTATTGTATTAGGTCTTTAATTTTTTCTCTCTATTCCCTTTTAAAAATTCTTATTAGTTGGATGTTGGATCTCTGTGATTGATCTCAATTTCTTTACTCTCATTTTTGGTCTCTGTCTACCTCTCTCTCTCTCTGGCTTTCTGAAAAAAAAAAGAAAACAAAAAGACTTGACTGTATCCTCCAAATGCTGTATATATTTTAAAAATTTAAGCACTTATATTTTTTACATTTTGTTTTTGAATGTATTTTTTTTTTTTTTTTCCAGGGGATCTGGCTCTTATTTCCTGAATGTATTATCTTCTCTCAAAGTATATCAATTATAGTGTTTTTTTTTTTTTTTTTTAAGTTTAGTTTTGTTTACTTCATTGTTTCATTTCCCTTTAAGTTCCTTTTGTTTGTTTTAGGCTCTTACACACTTCTCATAGTAGGAAATTTTCTAAATTTCTCCAAAAAAGCCAGAAAATCTGCATTTGTGGGTTGGTCCTCTTGACTTTTGGACCTCGCTATAAAGTGATTGGGAAGGAACCTTCTTTTGTTCAGGGACCCCTTCATGTAGGAATGTGCAAGGCTTTCCTCTGGGATGGTTCACTTTCTCCAGAAAAGACTCTTCTGATGCCCTGGGTCAGGGAATTGAACCTGATTGTGAGCATTCTGGAGATGAGTAGGAAAATGAGATGGAGTTTTTACCCTTTGTTGTTGTTGTTATGTGCCGTCAAGTTTTTACTCTTTAGGAGGTGGTATTTCACTTAATTCTCCGATGTTCAGGTGCAGGCCGCTCCTCAACCTTCATCTGTGCTGGAACATTTGGGTCTAGAACTCCCTGGTCTCTTTTTCTAGAAGAATACCTCATTTCTTGCAGGGGTGGAGGAGCAGTAGAAGGCTTACTGTGCTGAGGAGTCCGTGTTAGGGGTCCAACTACTTTCCATAGAGACTTTGGAATAACTTTTCTGTTTTAAGCAATTTCTCTCTCCACATTTCCCTCACCTTCTGCACCTGAAGCTTCTAATTCCTGAGTCATCTAAGGGTTGTGTGAGCCAAACAGTTTATTTTTCATCATGATCTTTTCTGTACATTTTACCTTCTTATATCATTCACTATTCTTCTTTGAAGGCTTTTTATGTGTGCTTCCTAGTTTCGTCATGACTAGAGTTATGTCCTTTTTGTCTTGGAGGTGATTTTAGAGAGTAAAATAGGAGTAGAAAGGACACTATTCCACCTGATTAGCAGTGTTGTTGCTGTCGAGTTGGTTCTGACTCATAGTGACTCTACAACAGAACGAAGCACTGCGCGGTCTAGCACTATCCCCACAATCTTTGCTATGCTTGAGCCCATTGTCACAGCCACTGTGTCAGTCCGCCTCATTAAGGATCTTCCCCTTCTTTGGTGACCCTCTACTTTACCAAGGATGGCATCCCTCTCCAGGGACTGGTCCCTTCTGACAACAGAACCAAAGTGTAAGAGACAGTGTCTGGCCATTCTCGCTGCTAAGGAGCATTCTGACTGTATGTTCTTTGACGAGACCACGATTTCAAATGCATCACTTCTTCGATCTTCCTTATTCATTATCCAGCTTTGACATGTGTTTGGGGCTATTGAAAACACTGTGGTTTTGGTCAAGCACACCTTAGTCTTCAAATTGGCTTTGCTCTTCGAGAGATCTTTTGCAGCAGATTTGCCCAGTGCAATACGTCATCTGATTTCTTGAGTCCTGCTTCCATGGGCATCGATTATGGATC